ATAGAATATAGAACAATAATATTTTTAAAAAAGTAAAGCCGGTTACGAATTGTAAATAAATTCAGCAGTACTAGTGCAAAGCCTAGACATCAGATGATTTAGAAATTTGAGATGGCACACGCATGATACATCAGCCGATCAGAAACTTCTGTTCTAAACCCTCAGTAAGGATAAGTCCACGTGCCTTTCCATGACAACGGTCTTTTATTCTTGACAACATCATTAGTTATTCAAATTTATGACCTGGAACACGATTCTCGTTGCGAGCGACACACAGCTTTAAAATGTTTTAGAAGACATATGTTGCTCGAAATTTGCTCGAAATGTGGAATATTGCTCAAATGTTGCCCAAAGTGCGAAAAAGTGCTAAAGGGTGCTCAAAATGCAAAATAGTGCTCCAAACTCAAGAAAGTGCTCAAAAGGTGCTCAGCGCAATCGGGAAAGGCCTAGCCACTATATCAAAATATATCAATGTAATTTTTTGTTATCTTATATAAAATTTATCCCCCTTTAACATATGTAAAAATTGAGGTTAAGAAGTGTTAAGCTTTTGCAAACAAAACGGCGAAAGACGATTAGGTGATATTTAGTGGAAGGAGGAGGTATTCAACACTTTCAAATTACACTCAAATTTTGGCATTATACGACCAACAAGTTTGACTTATAGGCATACAGACACAAACATATGAAACTGTTTATTGATATTGTTATGAAACGAATTTATCTATTTTACATTGTAGCCTGAAATTACAGAAGGAAAATAGGATTTCCGGTTTGCAAAAAGGGAAATTTCGCCGGCCTTGAAGCGCACCGGAAGCGCGGAAAGAGCGCTCGTGCCAGTCCTACTCCGCATCACACATTAAATGAAGAGCGGAGCGCTCGTTTCACCGCCCAACATTTATCCGCCCTGGCGTGCAAAGTGTGCGCGCGCTTTGACCTATCAGCTTTGTGCTGTTACGAGTACAGTGCCGGGTTTTTTGGGTTTGTTTTTCTGTTAAAGGGGCGTTTGTCACGTTAGGGACGTTATACAGGAAAATTGCACGTGTTTTGCTGCCTGTTAACTTTTTTAGTCTTACGACTGGGTATATTCTGGGAGTGGTTGTAGCGGATCAGTACTTCTTTTTTAGCGAAAATACTTACAAGAACCCAACCGGAAGAGCAAGACTATATTGCCTTATTACAACTTTATCCTTTAATCAACAACCTTCAGCCTTTTTAAATCGAAGGTCATTTTCAAGGTGAATGTACCTGTCTACAACTACCGCATCGTTGCTTCATCTCTGTTTTGTGTGGATGTGTTGTTGTAATGGTTTTTTTTTATTGTCATGCGTCGGTGATTTTATCCTTTGTTAGTCTTAAGATCATTCGTTCGTCGGCGGTTGTACTGTTTTAAGCATTTCCAATGATACAAATGTCATTCGATATCACCTCAGTCTAATACTATGCTAGGGATCTTGTCATAGCGGTAGGGTGACAACAAGGCTCCCCTTGTCAATGCTGTACACTAACTTGTTGTGTGGTTTGAACACGATGTTTGATAAAACTCTTTTCTTTTTGTTGCTAGCTGTATTAAGCTCTTCAGTTTTTGGAACTTTTTCAAGAAAGTACCCAAGCAAGGACCACGACACGGCTAAAGAAGGTAAGTGCCGGGCAAAGACTGAGCTTCGCTAAATAACGAATTGCGATATGCTAGGTGTTTCTTAGTTTACTTACAACTGTGTCATTTGTGAAGGGATATGTATATCCACAACCGACAGCCCTTTTTTTAACCAACTGACAAATGTCTTAGCCTTGGAATAAATGTGGCATGAACAAGGCACTTTAAGAGATTCATAGCAAGATAAGGGCTTCCAGGCCGAATTGCCATTATTTCTGGGATTTAAAATTAATAATTCGAGACATCGCCGGATGGCGCCCGATACTTTAAAGAGACATTTTATTAAAAGCACAATACTGAATGTTTAATACAGCCGCGATTTATATAATTTGGCGTACCTTAAGCGTGACCAGAAAACGAAAATTTCCATGTTTCCTGCATGTTGGTTAGAGGACTTTTGCTCGGCTACGACGCGCCATCAATTTCCATAAACCTTTAAAAACAAAAATTTAAACATAATATCATGAAAGATACCTTTCACAAGTCAACAACATATTCTTTTATCACCTGTAGTCTCGATGCTAATTAATAAGATAGGATTCCTGCGGTGGTAGAGGTCACTCTAGCTATTGCTGCAGTCTGGTTGCAAGAGAGCTCTATTTTTAGTGACCTAACAGTCCTTACATTGTCCTTACGGAAGTATCTTTATCTATTGGATTTAAAGCCACTGTACTCTCAAGAACTATGAGTATTGAGTTATTTTTCTGCCCTTTGATGATAGTTTCTTCCCCGACCACATGACAGGTTTTGTTGATGTACAGAGCTTAATGAACTGTAAATACCAATCTTCTCTGGGTGTGGTATTTCTCGTATTTCCGAAATCACAGCATTACACTGGCTACACTAGCTACACTAGCTAATTTTGAGTAAAAGTCAGTAGCCCTTTTAACAATTGATTAAAAGACCTTTACCTCATGATCCGCGAACAAATTTTAAGGGTGGCTTCAAGAAAACAGATGTAAATGAAAATTTCTTGTTAATGAGAGAGAAAAAAACAAGAAACCACTAGTAGCCCTTTTTACGTATGAAACGGTTGATATAATATTTCCGTCAATTTTAGGCCACATCTTGAAATCTCTGAGCAGCTGGAGATCATTAGAATTTTAAAAACTGCCACCCGTACTCATAACAAGGGCTGAATGATGAAATTTTTTTCAGCCCCTTCTTATTTAAGATGATCAATACGTGCAAACGCCGGTTACACCAGGGGTTTATATCACACTAAACTGCCGCTATGCTACCCTACTATACCCAAGATTAACTTTGAAACGTGAACATTCGTGAACCCTGCTAGATGGCGTTAGTTTCTTTAGGAACTATACCAGCAAACAAACATCCCATCGTCGCGTGATCAGCCAACTTATGCATATAAAATATTTAATAGAAGTGCTCGAATGGAAACGGCGGCGTTTTATCTTAATTCGCAAGGATCATGCCCACAAATCACTCAGATCCCATTCTTTTGGAGAAATTTCACTGCTGCAACTGGAGGGTTTAATAAAGCGGTCTTCAGCTCAGAAGGAGTTCAGTTAGTGATAATAGAAAAAGGTAAAGTAACCAATCATAGGAGCGCCAGACAGAGCAATGGACCAATCAGACCTTAGAAGTAAGTCAATGGAAGCAGCACTAGAACGAGCGCGGAGGAATGAGACCTGGTTATGACTATTTTTGACTTTTATCTGATTGGTCGAGAAATTCGGTCGTACGAGACATTGTGCGGAATTGACCTTCCAGCTTAAACCGAAAACCTCTTCGTACCGCGAAGGGATAGGATCTAAGTGCGGCGTAACCACTGTCTAAGAATGCAAAAAGCCCTCTTCCGGTGGACATGCGTCACTCAAAAACGTCTTCGCTTAAACTTCCTATTTATTGAGCATCGAAAGTAGCGTCCAGTCCTTTTCGCTCGTGACGTTGCATTCGCCACTTTATAAACGAGAAGGGAGCTGAAGCCGAAATGTGCCCGCAATGGTTTCTGGGATCGTTACTGGTGACGCGCCAGTCAGCTATTGGCTAATGTTTTCCCTTGTTCCTAGTAACAGTCCCAAAAGTCTTTGCGAAAGATCACTCGGGTCAGTTTCTTCTCGTTTTTAAAGTGGTGAATATGACTGTGCTGAATCTGCCTGATTTGTACTCTGGAGCGTCAGGATCATCGACAATGAACTAGTGAGTAAATAAAGCAATAAACGCTTCAATATTTGAACTGTTAATGTCCAATACCATTATTCAAGAATTTTCAACTTCATACTCTGGGTAGTGCCTATTTTTTATTAATGGTCATCCAAAAACCATTTAAAAACAAAACTTTATTAAACTTATATTATTTACCTTGCTGTCTAACGTAACATTCTGTCTTGTTTGATTTTTGATTACAGAGGTTCTTGAGATTCCACCTCTCAAGGTAACAGCAAAGAAGATTATGAAATATTTCCTTCACCGAAAAGACAACCTAACTACCACCAGTAAAAGAGTAAAACGCCAAGCAGAGTCAAACAACACAGTAAATAATGTCATCTATGTCATAGATTCCTCCAACTCAATCCGCAAAGAAGATTTCAACAAAAGTCTAAGGGCCCTAGTGTACCTAACTGAAAAAGCCAAGCCAGATACTCGGTACGCTGTTGTTAATTTTGCCACCGAGGCAACAGTTCTGACGTCTACTTTTGTTTCTATGAATGAGACCATAGCGCTACTTCCCACGGTGCAACGAAAGGCTGGACTCACAAATACCCAAGAGGCATTGCAAGTATGCAAAGAAAAGTTCTTTGACAATCCACGGTAAGATTTTAAACCGTTTATGGCAAGGAACCTTTAAGAGGACAAAAGTTAGGAACTTTATGGTAAAATAAATATAAAAGTTATTGAATGACAATTTATCTTTCTTGGACAGATTCTCAGTGTTCCAATCTTAACCTCGGCTCAGTCGGGTCATCAAAAGTATCCCAGCATGCGAAGAATAGTATCAGATCAAAACACTTAAATTGGAGATACGCTACAAATAGAGGGGAATGTATGACATACAGAACTGGTCCGTGTGGGGGCGTGGTACCGGAGGGATACGGCGCATCTGCCGGAACTTGCTTGTAAATGGCAGATCCGCCCTGGTTGGTAGCGTGGGTGCGCCGGCAAAGAAAACTATCACTAACATAATCCAAGCTAATCAATAATTTTCCTTACTTAACCTTTACTTTAAAGAAAGAATGCATATGATACTAACGAAGTAATTAAATTTTAATGCCATTTTATGTTCATTTCCAACTCCTTTTTAATTGAGCAGGTCATGTTCCACTATTTTCTCCGCAGTTCTGGCTTTGACCCGAAAGGCTTCAGAAACCTTCTGCTTGTCACAGATGGACTGTCAAACATTGGTAAAGAAATGACCCTGTTCAAGGCATTTAGTTTGAAGAGCACAGGAGTGGAAATATTTGTGGTAGCTGTGGGAGGATTTACCTTTGGAATTGATGAGATCATCGGACTCGCCTCCTCAACAGA